CTCGCAGTTATCCAGAGCCCGTGTAACTGGAAAATACGTCGCTGTCGTAGATGCTGAGGATCTTGATCCAGCTGATTATGATCATCTTGTTTTTCACGATGGCGCGACCCAGGTTCGCCACGATTTCTCTTTTGTCATTTTTGGATTCCAAACTGATCTGAAAAGACAGGGGAGCAGTCATGGGGACGATGACGTCGCTCTCGTCCAAGTTGGGGAATCGCACCAACAGCGTTTGGTTTTCATCGATCGTGCTCAGGTTGTTGGTGATCGTCATGGATTGACGAATGGCTTTCACACCCAGGGGTTCTCTCAATCATCGGAAATAATCTAGTTTTCTTCCGACATTATTTATATGACGTGAAATTTGCTTGTGTACAATTTATATTTTCAGGCAAAAAGCACCGGCTTGAAACAAACACTTACAACTTTGTGATGCAAGATGACTCAAAATTAATGGTCTGCAGTGATTTATCGTCCTTCTTGAAAACCGTAAAAATCAAGAATGACACTCCATGAACGTGTATGGGGATACTATGATGTGTGCGTGCATCCCATGCGTTGTGTCTAGCGGTGATGAATAGGAAAATGGTGGTGCATTCATAGGATGTCTGCCTTTGAAAAGTTTGTTAACGCTTATACTTTCTATCCAAATTGACAGTTTATGTTCCCCTACCTTTTTAAAGAGTATATTAAAGAGTATATGAAGAGATGTCTCAAACGGTATGATCAGCAAAGAGGTGAAGCATCACTACATCTTTGGGCATCTCCCATATCTGCCACAGCAGCTACTGCAACAACTGATAACATCCCAGAGACTACTCAATACATATCAGTATAGGACACTGACTAGCATGGTACACAATGCAGTAGTACGTGGGCAGATCGATGATGAACGTGAAACGTCAATGCCTGATAATAACCAGTCTCGATTATCAAACGATTGATATCTGAATAATTGTCCTTCGTGTTTACTGGAAAATGTGTGTAGGTCTACAATGTGATAACTTCTCCTTGATAAGTAATGTGTGTCGCGGATGTTGTCATAAACGGTATGATCTGCAATGAGGTATCACTATATTTTTTGGCATCTTCCATAAATGACTCAACTGCCACAGCAACTACTGTAACAACTAATAACCTCCCAGTGGCTGCTCATTACTATCAGGATAGGACACTTACTAGCATGGTACAGCAGGGCGTTGTTTGGAGGTCACAAATCAGCACCCCCTAACAATGCAGTAGCACCTGGGCAGATCGATGATAAACGTGAGACGTCGACAATACCTGACAATATAACCCTTCCGATTATCAAACGAAACATATTCCACTGGGTGTGGAAAGTAGAGGAAACTAGAGTTAACAAATTTGAGTAAATCACTGATAATCAGTATAGACGTCAGGATTTCACGAATAGCTCAACTACTCTAACAATGTGACAGGTTTTTTCCGTGTTGTTGCAACTGTTACACTTCACATGCCCTTAGTGTCACATCTACACAACCCTGGGCCCCGTTCCTCAAAGCGATCATAGCGCTACGACTGTCGTAAGCCCATGTTAAAGTATGGGAGTTACGATCATCTTAGCGCTACGATCGCCTTGTGGAACGGGGCCTGAAGTGATGGCGATATACTACCTTTTACGCAGACAGTAACCTGACAATATATCAATGCTAACGAAGAACTTCAAAGCTATACACTCCTGGCTAATTTTGAAATGTGTTGTTGCTGGTGTGTGTGTGTGTGTGTGTGTGTGTGTGTGTGTGTGTGTGTGTGTGTGTGTGTGTGCGTGCGTGCGCGTGCGTGCGTGCGTGTGCGTGCGTGTGTGTGCGAGAGTGTGTGTGTCTTGAGGCTGTTTTAGAGGTATTTATACATACACAAAATAGCCACGACGTAACATATTTAGGAGACATATGTTACCTGTTCCAACTGTGGTTTAAGGTGCATATCTTTAGGCGCCACTGCTTACATTTCTGACGGTTGGTCAGCTCGACATCGAAAGTCTTTAGAATGGGTGAAATATTGTTTTGTGAGGACCAGTTTCATTTGTAGTCTTTGGAAAAGGCGCGATACACATTTATATGCATGATGAGCACCTTTCTAAAACGATCTCGCTATATTTAAAGTATCTGAAAGGCGGTGTCAAAGATTAACGGCCACGGGTCTGTTACTGGATCAAGCAAACACATATGACCTGCATATGTATATCACCATCGATGATCAAACTAAGGACAACAACTGTTTATCTGAAATGTGTTAAAGTAAAAAAACGAAATAGAGATACGAGGCCACAGTTTGCGGGGTCAAAAAGAATTTCATGTGGCTTAAGAGCTAAAGGTACTAAACCATTTTAAACATTTCTTTTATTCGTATTCCCACTATGAAATGCATAGGACTAAATTTTGAAATGAGTAAATAATCACACAAGATCAGTTGAAATAGGACATACAGAAATAGGTTTATACTCAAGAAAGGTAATACCATAAATCATTATCACGTACTCTTTAAAATGAAACTCGCAGAAGATGGGAATCTGGATTTTACTTGTTCATGAAACATCTTTTAGAAGCCCGATTTTTAATATGGATAACATCTTTATTGCAGTGGGTGCGACGTTTCGATGTAGATGGATGCTAACACCGTTACCAAGCAAGCTATAAACAAAACTATGGTCAAGGAAAATATAATATGAACGATAGTGGAGTTATACAATTATTTTATTCGTGAAACGCTGAATACACATGCAATATTTCTTACTGAACGATGTCAGTGACATGCTCGTTAATTTCATTCAGCTATAAGTATTATACAGATATGAGTGCATGAACATGACATGGAAAGAGTGTCAAAAGCAGAATTAGCGTGAACGTTGTCACACTTATGTGCGGTGTTAATGACTTTAAACGGTCAAACAATCGATGCGGCGTCTTCGACATGGTGTCCTATGTCAGGCCAGTCTTCCAGTCACACAAATGGCTGTTGTACCAGAATATGGAAACGAGCCTCTACGTCCAGGTTCACCAGATCTGGCCCCTACTGACTATCAGGTGTTTGCAGATTTGAACCTTGAAACCATACAATGACTTGGTTGTTGATACAGAGGGCTGGTTGATGAACTAGCATCCGAAAGACAAAAAACATTCCACTTCCAAAAACATGTCAATGAATTATTTCAATTGTTCGAAAACGTGGTCACTCCGACAGTTCTTATTTGACCATCCACCGAAACCCGCGCCTATATGAGGAAAGTACTAGAATATGATGGTCTGCACGGAAGATACTGCAACATATATAGCTTCATGCGATTTTTTTTTTGACCTGACTAACAGCAGGGATCAATCTTAAGTGCGGATATTTAGGGTATTTTCGTACAGACTAAAATCAGTAGTATTAACATACGTGTTTGATTCTCCCGCTTTCTCGATGTCTTCATTATTAGAACCAACGTTGACATAACATGATGTTCCAGTTGACACATTCTGATCATTCACGTCGTGTTAACATAAATGGATCCTTGTTCTGACCACCCCCCTTGGTGTCCTGTAGCTTTGTATGATCTGGTACTGAGTGTAATCAGAGGGTTCCGCCACACACATTTCATAAGATGGGACAACTGCTTCTTCAGCGTCTCTGGCTTGGGGCCTTTTTCCTTTCCGTCTCCTGAAATATCGAATTATGGGTGAAACGACCAAACCAAATTCCTCTGACAGAACAGAGGTACTCATGTCATTCATATTCTACTTGTTGACAGAGGTGTTAATTCTAAGTGTCGACAGAGCCTCAGAGACATAGTTTCCTCTGCCCAAATGTGCAAAGTATAGTTTCTTCTCGTTAAGGAGGGACTTTACGTCAGGGTGTTTTGACGTTATCGTTGTCAATAGCAAAGGGGAGGAAATTTGAACAGAATTTTTAGGTCAGACTTTCCCCGTTAATCTTTCAACGAAGCATTTTATTATGCTCTATTATCATAACTTAGACAACATTTGTATCACGAACATAATACTTTACCAACTGTTGATAGCTGCACCATACCTCACACACACAACAGCAACAACCGCAACAGTGACGACACCAGCAGCCACACCACCCACGACAATGACGTACAGTAACGGGAACCTGCTATCGGGGGACTCTGAAAGTGTAGAGATACATTCAAGCGTGGAACATTGAACAGTTAAATTTTTTGAACGTGAAATAGACATTTGTTTGCCGTATTGATATCTGTAACATATGTTATATTTGGGATTACACTTTCTTAGTAAAGTACAAATTCTAGTACTTTTGGGGTTGAGTCCCATCCGGGATTCGAACCCGCACCCTCAGAGTCAGTCACAGTCACACAAAGTCAGACGCCTAGACTTCCACGTATTGATATCTTTTTCAACAATGACATGCTTCTTTTAGCTAGAACACAAACGACTTTTGCACCCGTCATAATGCAGCATAATGTAATTGAATACTGCTCCTTCAGAATTGAAAGAGGTATTTTACGCCTGCTGAGATATATATCTGACTTTATATACTAAAAGACTTCCCCTTTGCAATAGCACCTTACATATGACCTGCTTGATTCTTAATCATATAACCACATAGTATATATTATTTGTAATGGTGAAAAGTTTTACAGGCGTGCCGGGTTTGCACATGAGATAGTACCCACGATGTAATACAAACACAAAAGGTCAGCGATATAAATCGGTCTTGATCATCTGCAGTGATTAACAATAAGACTCGAAGGGACATATTATCATAGTTTTGGACGAGTATACAATTTAACTGTTGTATATTTCATTAATGACATGTGAACATGCACTTACAAATTCTGCTGTTGAATTGTCACGTGTAACGATAATCCTTCTCCAAGTCTATTTCAATACATGCAATATCAATTTAAACTGGTTATTGACTGCGCGTACCTCTGCTATGACAAGAACTACAACCTGCAACAATTTACCCCGTTCGTCTTTGAAGAACCCCCCAAACATATACATCACTTCCTTTACCTGCTGCACCAGATGGAGGCGTGGATGTTTCCGATGGGTGTGCTGTCGCTGTTGTTGGTGTTGCCATTGTGTTGGATGTTTGTGCAGTAGTGGACACAGTGACCCAGAACGCTGTACCTATTGGTGAAGTAGTCACTTTTGTCGTAGACAATGTCTTGGATGTTGTTGGCATGGTAGTAGTTGTGGAAGAAGACATTGGAGAAGACGTTTCCAGCGGTACAGCTAAAGAAACACATACATGTCTTTCTATATTGATACGTAGCTTGAATGGAAGGTATTTCTAATGCTACACATGTGTCTGATTTGGAAGCGGTAAAGTGTCTGCAGTCGACAGTATATCAATATACTTAACTAGACCTTAAGCGTTCGGCTAATGTTACTGATTCAGATATCAGTTTCGTGAAGATATACAACCGCACACAGTACAGTCAGATGGATTTCATCTAACGTTGATGTCATATATCCTCAAGTTTGACCAGAACACATTTCTATAACGTCCCATCAAAGCCAGCATCCTGGTGGTGTTAGTGAACGTCTCGTGTATTCAGACTAGGTACACCCAAGTCGAGGTCTGTTTTGCTTGTCTGGTTTGTTCACAGGCGCATGACTACTGCTGTGCAGTGTAACACAACAAAATAGTTTACAAGATTGTGAGTGACGGGTGCTACCGGTAGAGCAGGACATGATTATCCTTTATGCGAGCATCTTATATAATTTTAACAGATATTTTGTAACTTTCTGTTTTTGGAATTTGTTTCTGAAAATAGTCAAAACTGGGTATTCTTTTGCATTGACGTTCTATGTTATCATTTGACGATCTCATGAGTGATTTCATGAATGAGTGATCTCATGAATGAGTGATCTCATGAGTGAGTGATCTCATGATTTCATGAGTGAGTGAGTGAAAGTCACATCGGCAATATTTCAGCCATATCGTGACTACGACCGTATGACGTGTGTAGCTTTAGTCTTGATTTTATGAATATTTTGCATCTTTTGACAATATTATATATTGCTATTCATCAATAGAAGCGACAAAACACTTTCCACATCCATAAAAAATTCTGCTAAAAGCAGAGTCGTTTGTACAATTGTGACTTAATCATGAGTATATACTTGTATCAGCAGTATTACAGCCGTAAACAATCGATTCTGGCCCAGACAATCCAGCGATTGTTACCATGCGATACTATGACAGAGCATGTGTCCATAAATCACTATGAAATAGTGGTGATACCAGGTGTTCACGAAAAGATGAGCGTATCGTGCCCCACCGGTGGCACCCGTCATAAACACGTGCTAAGTCTAGTCAGTTGTATAATTCGGGAACGTATGGTATATGTCAAAATTGCATCGGACATTGTTTTTGTCACTGATGCATCAAATTTGGAAATGTCCTCCCCATGTCTACTATGAAACAATTGGTGCCCATGGGGATGTCTACTTCATGGTCAAATATTTTACCCTACATTTTACAAAGATGTTATCAAGGAGAAATATTTCACACATTGTTTTCTCTGTAAACTTCCAATGACATTTGCTTTCATTATTGACAAAGTGCCCTAAGTGAGTGAGTTTAGTTTTACGCCGCTTTAGCAATATTCCGGCAATATCACGGCAGGGGACACCAGAAATGGGCTTCACACATTGTATCAATGTGGGGAATCGAACCCGGGTCTTCTGCGTGACGAGCAAACGCTTTAACCACTAGGCTGCCCCACCGCCCGACAAAGTGTCCTGAACCTCTGAAGATAGATGTGTAGGTATTTCGTTGTTCACCGCGTTTGTTTATACCCCATGGATCAGGGAATGAATGTTTCCCTTAAGTTAGTCATATACAACGCTGAAATGTTTCCTAGTTTTTGAGAATCGACATGGTATTAATTCGGCATATCTTAAAATCTTTCTGTGAATATCGAGAAAGTCCTTCCTTGATAGTATTAAGGATTATGGATAATCTTTGAGACAGGGATTTGGTGGTACATTTGCTGGAACCAGCAATATATCTCTCCTTGCAAAGAATTTTATGTAGTTTTGGAATCAAGTACAAAAGAGGAGTGGACATGTCTTCAGGTTTAAGAGTCAAGTCAAACGTTGGTAACACCGTTGAGTGGTTTAGGCTAATACCTATATTTCTAGTACCGTATATTTCCACCTCGCAGAAACTCAGATTCAGCATCCCTACTGTAGGTTGGCGATATATCAGAAGATGGAACCCCGTTAGGAGTACATCACACTCCAGGGTGTACTCTGGTTCCCACATGTAGGAAGAGTCCGGGGCGTGACATATTCTTCCATCTACCTTCACATATACGTCATCTTGTTGATCTGGAATATGTTGAGAAGAATGAACCATAATACCTTACTCTAAATACATATTCGGGTGTGTTTTAGCGTTGCTGTAACGTTATAGATGTCAAAGCTGGTCAATTAATGTTTAAGATGTCTCATATAAAGTACTTGTCTGATACAAAGACCTTGTCAGTATTAGTACTATTTGTCAGTATTAGTACGCATTCGTTATCTTGTGTTTATGGTCACACAGTACCTTCCCAGAATATCTTGATCCTGGTAACTGTCCTGTTCTCTGTAAACTCCGCCTCCCATGCTGGTAATATGGACGAGACTGATGCACACGGCCCTGACGTCACACCATCAGTAACCCATGATGCCTGCCCGGTGGTGGTGTAAGCATTGTTTTGCCCAAATGTAAAGTTACTTGCTGTTATATTCACTGTAATAATAAACAGTATCATTATCTGAGGTAAAGTGCATCACATTCCAATTCAGGTAGGAATTACTTTACGTACTGTATGTACAATCCAGAAAGTGTTCTTTCACTTGTTGTGTCATCTCGAGTTGCTTAAAACTTTAATATATGTTGTACCTAGTTGTCAGATTGCTAATTGCTTCTCGTGCTATATTCACTTTAACAATAAACATAGTCATTATCTGTGGGTAACCCATTTCAATATGGGGATTCAGGTAGCGATTACTGGAAGTATTGTCTGCAGTATCTAGCATATGTTGTTTCACTTCAGCTTGTCATCACGAGATGCTTCAAACTTTAAAATATATATATCTTGCATCAGCTTTGAGCATTAGTCGACTGTTATGTCTTCGTCTCCTTTAGATTTGATGATATTGTATTCTGCATCACATTGTTTATGCTGTGTTGAAAGACATCCTGCAAATGCCAACAGCAAACTCTGCTACTTACACTCTTGTGGGTAACAGGTAGTAAATGCCTAGACATAATGTGCGAATATAAACCCTAAAATAATAGCGACGCGATTCGAGTGAACATAAAGTCTTCTTGTGAATCATTCAAAAAACATATCCTGTTGATCGTTATAGACAAAACATTAAATCAATAGATAACTGAAACCAGGTGTAAATTGTAATCATGATCTGTCCTACCTGTAGCACCTGTAATCAATACATTGAAATCAACGTTACCTAAGGTACAGTCCTGGGGACAGTTGGCGTCTTGGCTGGACACTGAAACACACACAGGCTTATGATGTGAATTTTAGCTGATAAAGCAGTCAATAAAATGGTCATTCTCAGAAACTCTTTGTTTTCTAGGCACACGCCTGTGAACGCAATGCAATTGTTACAGTGTATGTTTATTGCGAACTGTTTATTGTGGTTTATGTAAAATACATGTATATGACCCCATTTACTAAGAATGTAGGTATTTCTTTGGCAAGTGTGTGTGTGTCTCACCTTGCGGGCTCCATACAAACATCACAATCAAGTAAATAATGGCGTTGTTGGTCACCATGGCTACACACTTGCTGATTGTGACATGAAATCAATTCATCCTTGGAGACCAAACAAGTAAATCCATTGAGAAGAAGCTGGTTCAGAAATGAATCTATAACCACACCAGTGACAGTTATTCTATCCTGCTTTGGGCTACACAAACCTGCTGCTCACTTCCTCGCAGCCTTTTGCGTAATGGCTCAACACATTGCTGGCAGATATTCATATATGCATTGATATATTCACGGAAATATATTCGAATCCCACATACGGAACAAATACAGAGAGTCTGGTGTGCACAGTCATCGAACATTGCGTCCAATGTCCTAGGGTACACAATGAGAAATGTTCAGTAGAAAAGGCCACAGAGTAGATTCGCTGACCTGGTTGTCATAGTGTCCCAATTGCGTAGATCGATGCTCATGATATCAATGACTGGATTCGCAAGTCCAGGCTGACGGAACGACAAATTTGCAGCAACGAAACAAAATGTCCAAAGTCAAATGTCTCAATAGTACGTGAGTGAGTTTAGTTTTACGCCGCATTCAGCAATATTTCAGCTATATGACAACTCTGAATAGAAAGGGTACTTTGGGGGATTTGTTACTATCATGTTCTCCTTCTGTTGATAAATATGTCTGCATGAAACATTAAGTAGACACTGCTTGTAGATCGCAATAGTGCAGTGGTAGGATGTCTGCCTTTCACGCTGAAGGCCTGGGTTCGATCTTCGGTGGAGGCACCTTGGTTCGAGTCCCGAGGTGGGCACATTTGCGTAGTATCCTTGAACAAGATACTTAGTTCCACAGTGTCTCAGTTCACCCAGCTGTAAAATGGGTATCCGTGAGGATGTGCTGGCAATGTGAGTGCTTAGTTCATTGCGCCTAACAGGCAGCATGGCTGTATGATCCCCAGGGAGTTGGCAAAATATCGGAAAGTACAATAGTGTCCTATGACCAGGGATATAGAGAATACTACACGAGGTCTCAGTTCATACGAATTATATGAAACGAGTGTCCTTCCTATGGTATCTGACCGACGTCTTACATGCATTAAATTGACAACATAGCGTAATTTAGTTATGTTTTGGTTTCAAACCGAAACCGGTTTCATAAAGAGGTTGCGGAAGAGTTTTGTACTGTAGTGCAATATGTGCATGACGTCAGAGTGCAATGACGTCACTGCCTTGGTAACCGACGTCACGATGCATGTCATTTGCCATCGCCTTGTACAGCCTCCTACAGTAAACTACTCAGTACCACCTCGTTTCTTGGTTTCCAGTTGCTTTATTCGGCTAACATCACTGGTGGAAACATTGCATTTATGGTTTTCGACGGATATAATGTCTCAGTTCTACTCACAATTAAACAGCGACACGGCAACGTTCGCAATGTTTACATTCCCACAATGCATTTAAGTTGTACAATGAATGAATTCACATGTTTGTTATGAATGAAAAAATAGTTACGTCAGAATGTGACCTAATTGAGAGGTCATCGGTTATCCAATCAAATCGTTAGAATTTCAGGTCAAGTCGTTACGACACAGGTCAACGCGATACGACACTCGTGTGACGTACGAGATTAGTATGCAACTACCATTCGGGGTTGAGTAGCTATGACACAAAGATCAAGTGAAGTGTAACAGTTGCAACAACATGGAAAAAACTGTCACATTGTTAGAGTAGCCTGTGCTAGTGGTGGTGCTATTCGTGAAATCCTGATGCCTATACTGATTCTCTGTGATTTAATCATATTTGTTACTCCTACTTTGCTGTTTACACCCAGTGGAATATGTTTCGTTTGATATCCAGGATTGGTTATTTTTTTAACATTGACGTCTCATATTTAGACTCGAACTGCCCACGCACATGAGTACCGATTTGTGACCTGCAAACAACGCCTTGGTGTAACATGTCTGTTAGTGTCCTCATGGTCCCTAGAATCATTACTAGTCTTAGATTGAAATCTGTGATAAACTAATTATTTTACTATTTATGTGTATTATGAAGTAATAACTTGTTTTTAGTCACGATTTGGCCTGTGTGACTTAAAAAATTAACTCACTCACTCACCCAGTATCCTCCTGTGATATTTATAGAGCAGCTACCAGGGTGTAATCAGTTGTTACATGATCTGCTGTGACAGTTGAGTCATTTATGGGAGATAAAAAATTGTAGCTTATCCTTAGTTTGATCATCGATTTTCTGGGCGTACTAGCCATGGAAGCAAAGAATATATGTTTTATGAGAATGTCACAACTAGTGTTGCATAAAGAGCCAAAGAACTGGAGTTTATCAATGTCGCCAATCATGGTTCACAATCCAATGTTTGCAATATTGGTTTCAGGCGGAGATCTCTAATCTAGTTCCTGGACAGTTCGGGCAAAGTAACGCTGTGTGTTTTGTAGCATTAAAAGCTCAAATAAGCGACGAGACAGTCTTCGACATGGTGTCCTACATCAGGCCAGTCTTCCAGTCACATTGTAATGGCTGTTGTAGCGGAATATGGAAACGTGTTCTAGTCAAGGCTCACTAGATCTGACCCCTACTGACTATGAGGTGTTTGTAAATTTGAATATTCAACCCTTACGTTATTACAATGACTTGGTTGTTGTCACAGATGACTGGTTGATGAGCATTCGAAAGACAAAAACATCCCACTTCCAAAAACATACATCAACGAATTATGTTATGTGTTCGAAAACGTGGTCACTATGACATTTCATATTTGGCCATCCTCCGTAACCCCCATATGGGCAAAGTACAAGAATAGGATGGTCTTCATGGAAGACACTGCAACAGTAGTAGCTCACTATGCGATTTATGTTTCACCTGAATGACAGCAGGGAGCAATCTTATGTGCGGATATTTAGGGCATTTTCGTACAGACTCAAATCAGTAGTATTAACATACATGTTTGATTCTCCCGCTGCTTCACCGATGTCTTGATTATTAGAACCAACGTTGACATAGCATGATGTTCCAGTTGACACATTCTGATCATTAAAGTATTCGTTGTTCACATAGGTGTATTCGTTTTCATTAATGTTCTCATAGCTGGTAGAAACTGTCGTGTTAACATAAGTGGATGTCTGATTTGACCATCCCCTTGGTGTTCTGTGACTTTGTATGATCTGGGCCCTGTTCCTCAAAGCGATCGTAGCGCTAAGATGATCGTAACTCCCATACTTTAACATAGACTTACGACATTCGTAGCGCTACGATCGCTTTGAGGAACGGGGCCCTGGTATTGAGTGTGATCAGAGGGTTCAGCTACACACAGTTCATAAGATGGCGTAACTGCTTCTCTAGCGTCCTTGGCTTGGGACCTTTTTCCTTTCTGTCTCCTGAAACATCGAATTATGAATATGATCTTACAATGGTGCTCCCAAACAATATTAAAAGATCCGGTTCCGTTGAAAGGACCACACCGATGCTGATAGAAGAGAGGTACTCATGTCATTAATATTCTACATCTTGACAGAGGTGTTATTTAAATGTGTCGACGAAATGTTGCCTCTGCCCAAATGTGCAGTGGAAAAAAGTATAGTTTCGCCATGAATTATTCCAGTAAAAGCATGAGGACCGTTGTGTTCGGATGTTTTGACATTATCGTTGCCATTAACAGTTCCGGTGAAACGACCAAACCAAATTCCTCTGATGGAACAGAGGTATTCATGTCATAAATATTCCACATCTTGACATAGGTGTTATTTATATGTGTCGACGAAGTCTCTGAGAAATGTTCCCCTGCCCAAATATGCAGCGAAATAAAGTATAGTACCATGAAGTATTCCAGTAAAAGCATCAGGTCCTTTTTGTCAGGATGTTTTGACATTATTGTTGTCAATAACAAAGGGGAGGAAATTTGAGATCAACCTATTACTGTTGTAAATTCGGGAACTTTAATCTTCCAGCGAAGCATTTTATGTATGCTATATTATCTTAACATACACATTTGTATCAGAAACATACTTCTTTTAGAGCTGTTGATAGCTGCACCATACCTCACACACACAACAGCAACAACCGCAACAGTGACGACACCAGCAACCACAGCACCCGTGACAATGACGTATAGTAACGGGAACCTGCTATCGGGGGACTCTGAAAGTGTAGGATACATTCAAGCGAGGAAATAAAACACATTACACATTAATACATTGAACAGGTAATTTTTGTATGTGAAATAGACACTTTTATGCCGCATTAATATCCTTTTCAACAATGACATGCTTCTTTTGGATGAACATATTTCTTCTTATGTGAGTGCATGCGAGTATAATATATATATATTACATACGTGCCGGGTTTGCACGTGAGATAATACCCACAATACAATACAAACACAAAAGGTCAGCAATATAAATCGGCCTTGATCATCTGCAGTGATTAACAAGAGTGAAAGACTCGAAGTGACATAGTGCCAGTTATCATAGTGTTGGCCAAGTATACAATATAAATGTATATTTAATTCATGGCATAAATATTCATCTCAAACTCCTGCTTTTGAAATGTCACGTGCAAAGATAAACTTTCTCTAATCCTGCTTGTTTCAATAAATACAATATCATTGGGAGATTTAAAATGTTTATTAATTGCGCAATTACAATTGACAGTAACTACAACCTGCAAGAATTTCGCACTCTTTCATTGTCTTTAACTCGTCCGTTTTTGAAGAACCCCCAAAACCTATACATCACTTCCTTTACCTGCTGCACCAGATGGAGGCGTGGATGGTCGCTTTAAAGTTATCACAGTAATATTGCACAGACTAAAAGCGAAATATATGTAATTTACAAAGGTTGCAGAGCTGCATTGACTACCTCCTTAGCAAGGGGGTAGCCTAGTGGTTATGGCGTTCGCTCGACACGCCGAAGACACGGGTTCGATAGCCCACATGGGTACAATGTGTGAAGCCCATTTCTGGTCATATTGCTGGAATATTGCTAAGAGCGGCGTAAAGCCAGAAGTCACTCTCTCCTCCTTATCAATATCGCAGTTCATCGGCTTTAATGGGTAATACACTCTGGGAAGTATATTAATATATGCTGCTGCAACACAAAGTAGATTCGCTGACCTGGTTGTCATAGTGTCCCAATTGCGTAGATCGATGCTCATGATCTCAATGACTGGATTTTCAAGTCCAGGCTGACGGAACCACAATTTACAGCAACGAAACAAAATGTCTAAAGTCTGGATACGACAATACCATTCAGAAATATCCAGTCAAACACCTTTAGCTTTATTGATTGGAACTGGCAAGCAATTATCTGTGGAAGTTGGTTTAAGCTGTAGATGTTTTTGCAAGCAGACGGTCCATAGGTGCTGCTGTACAAACAGGTTACAAATTTCAG